ACGATAATATAACATCAATTCCACCAGAAGAACAGAGATATTACGCATTAAATGCATTTCCTAAAGTTTTGAAGATTGGAAGATTTAATTTAAATGAGGAATTCATAGAAGGTTCCTAAATGACATAATGAAGAAGGTGGATAAGGAATATGTGAGATAGTAAGTTAGAGAAGAAAGCAGAAAGGAAAAAGTTAATACTGAATTAAATAAGAAGGCAAATTTGGTTTATGTTGATGAAAAGATAATGAAATTAAAGAAAAGTTGAATGGTATCATGAATGGACATCGGAGACTTTTAAAGTTAAACTGATACAGGAGGTTTTCAGGATGTTTAGACTTAAGCAGATAAAACTTATGTTGATGAAAAAGATAATGAAAATTAAAGAAAAGGTGAATGGTATCATGAATGGACATCGGAGACTTTTAAAGTTAAAGCTGATACAGGATGGGTTTCAGGATGTTTAGACCTTAAAGCAGATAAAACTTATGTTGATGAAAAAGATAATGAAATTAAAGAAAAGGTTGAATGGTATCATGAATGGACATCGGAGACTTTTAAAGTTAAAGCTGATACAGGATGGGTTTCAGGATGTTTAGACCTTAAAGCAGATAAAACTTATGTTAACGATGAGTTAGAGAAGAAAGCAGATAAAACAGAGCTTCAAACATTAAAGACTGAAATACTTCAAACATTATATCCTATAGGCTCTATTTATACATCAATGAATTCAACAAATCCCGCAACAGTTCTGGGTTTCGGTACTTGGGAACAGATTGTAAACAAATTCTTATACTGTGCTAACTCTTCAAAACAAACCGGTGGTTCAAAGAAAATTAAAGAAGCAAACCTTCCACCGCATAAGCATACAGGAACTACAAACTTTTCTGGCGACCATAGACACTCATTAAGAGACCACCCATTATACAACTCAGACTATGAAGCTGGTTATGATGTTTTATCTCCAGCTTATAACGATTCAACAAAAAAGACTTTTCGACAAACTGAACCAGGAGGAAATCATGTCCATACTTTCACAACAAATCCAACAGGCTCGGGTGAAGATTACATGCCACCATTTATGACTGTCTTTGCATGGTACCGCGTTCAATGAACGTGTTTGAGCCCAGACCTTTGGGTCAAGGCTTACCGAATGAACTAAATATATTTTATGTCTGTAATTAATTAGGTAATGAAGTACCGAATGAACTGCAGAAATATATTTTATCGTTAATGGTTTTCAGGTTATTCAATAATTAATTATTTTTGAAGAACTGAAAGTGTCACTACGTCACCATGTCACCAGGTTAATTAACTTCTCTTAAAAATGATGACAACATGACATTTTGACAACAGTCCTGGAAATATATTTTATCGTTAATGTTTACGTTAATGGTTTTCAGGTTATTCAATAATTAATTATTTTTGAAGAACTGAAAGTGTCACTACGTCACCATGTCACCAGGTTAATTAACTTCTCTTAAAAATGAGACAACATGACATTTTGACAACAGTCCTGGAAATACGATGCAGTCCAAAAATAAAGTTAGTTTTAAAATTATTTTTATTTTTTTATTCCTATATAAATGACGGCAACAAACAACAACAGCAACTATATCGTTTCTGATGAAAAAGTTATTGATTCATTAGCTGAGGAATTAGTTGTGGCAGAAACTAAAACCCTCAACGAAAGAATTGGTGAAAACAAGATTGATTTACATAACTACTTCAAACATGATGGAGGAAGAGGAAGGAAAACTGGTATGGCTTTATTAGTAAATAAAATTTCAAATTTAACGATTATAGATGTTGATATCAATAAATCATACAATGATGAACTTAAAGAAACAGTTAGAAAAGATATTTTATCAAAACTTTCGGATAAAGATGTTATCGTTAAAACCGCTTCAGGAGGTCTTCACATTTATTGTAACACTAATTTCTTTTATTCAGTTTCGAACAGAATGATTAAATGTTATTCCTGCAATGATTATGATATTGACGTAATGACTTCTATGGATGATTCAAAGCGTTCTTTAGTAGTTATGGCTGATTCAAGAGTTCGCAAGAATGCAACAGAACCAATCAATACATACTCATTCATTCGTGGAAGTTACGACTCGACCATAACCAGAACAGTAAACGATATATTAAATGATTTGAATATTAAGGTAAGATTTGAACAGAAGAACGAAGAAATAAAGACTATCATGAATGAAAACAAAGATGTAAACATTGACGATAAACTTGCCCAGAGCATAGTTGATGGCATTAGTGATTTTGAAGTACATAATGATGGTGGAAACATGAATTTAGAAAAAGAAGTTACATTATTCACACTGTTTCAAGCAATTAATTCGTTACCTAATCATTTAATTAATGAAGCATACGATAACGTTTATAACTTCTGCAATTTAACTGAAAATGCAAAAAGTAATTTTGAAAAAGCACGTAGTAGATATGCTCATTTAATGACTTCTCCATTTGTTTTAGTGAAGATTCTAAAACCATATCAAAAGGAATATTATGATGAATATGTTTTACCTTTATTACGTAAGCCAAAAATAACATTTGATATAAAACTTGATGACTCGTTTTTGATAACAGATATTAGACGCAAGGCTGAAAATCATCAGTATAAAAACAGTTCTGAAGTAATTGAGGATTTATCACGTGTAATCCGTTTTGTAGATTGTGGAAACAAATACTTCATTCAGAAAGATTACAACATTCACGACAAAATGAATCAAATATCATTCGTTCTTCAATCAAACATGAAAGAGTCACTCAAAATGATTAAATTATTTAAAGAAGAAGGTTAAAACAATAACAGCATGGGATGTACTACTAAATCAATTATCCTCATTAACCGTTAAGGGTGTTGCTTTAAATCTGATTCCCCAGATGTTTTCTCAACGTTTCAGGGTTATAAATACAACATTCTCGAAAAGCCTGATTACTCAAAAATTGAGATGTTTATGAATTTCATTAAAGAAGCCATTTGTGATAATAACGATGAAGTGTATAAATACCTTCTCGGCTGGATTGCATCGATGATTCAACATCCTGGAATCAAGAATGAAACAGCAATTATTTTGAAAGGACTTCAGGGAACAGGTAAAAACAGATTTACAGACATTATTTCTGAACTTCTCGCCGGTTATTCATGTAAAAACATTACCGAAATAAGTGAGCTAACGGGTAATTTCAATTCAGTAGTGAGAATAAAATGTTTCTTGTACTTAATGAACTCAGAATGTTGGTGAAGATAGACTCGCAAACTTCAACGCTTTGAAATCAATTATTACGGATAATGAGATTAGAATTAATGAAAAAGAATCAACCCAGAAGAACTGCTCAGAATGTTGCCAATTTCATTTTGGTAACTAATAACGTCTACCCTGTCAAAATTGAAGTTGGAGACAGAAGATACGTAGTTTTAAGAGTTAATGGTAAATTTAAGGGTCAATTTGATTACTTCAAGAATTTAATGGATTCATGCACAAAGGAATTTTATGATAATTTACTGACGTATTTTATGCAATATGACCTTTCATCATTTAATGTACGAATCATTCCGATGACTGAAGCCAAACAAGATTTAATTGAATTATCAACAAATCCTTTAGATGTATGGATAAATACACATTATGATGAATTGTGTGCAGGTATGACGTGTAAAAATGCTCTATTCTGCAAACCATCAGACATGAAAGACAAGAATTTCCAAATGAGCATTAAGGATAAATGTGATAGGAAACAGAGAAGAATAGATGGTAAACAAACATGGTGTTATGTTTTGAAAGAAGAAATGAAAGGATTATATAAACAGGTTGAACCAAACGATAATGAGGATTCATTTACTGACGATGAAATACCTGTAAATGAAGCTTTATAAAGTATGATTGGAATTTATTTTTGCATTAATCCAGCTGTGTTGTCAAAATGTCATGTTGTCTCATTTTTTAAGAGAAGTTAATTAACCTGGTGACATGGTGACGTAGTGACACCTTCAGTTCTTCAAAAATAATTCATAAATGCCTTCCTCCTTTCGTACCTGTGTTGTCAAAATGTCATGTTGTCTCATTTTTTAAGAGAAGTTAATTAACCTGGTGACATGGTGACGTAGTGACACCTTCAGTTCTTCAAAAATAATTCATAAATGCCTTCCTCCTTTCGTACCTGTGTTGTCAAAATGTCATGTTGTCTCATTTTTTAAGAGAAGTTAATTAACCTGGTGACATGGTGACGTAGTGACACCTTCAGTTCTTCAAAAATAATTCATAAATGCCTTCCTCCTTTCGTACCTGTGTTGTCAAAATGTCATGTTGTCTCATTTTTTAAGAGAAGTTAATTAACCTGGTGACATGGTGACGTAGTGACACCTTCAGTTCTTCAAAAATAATTAATTATTGAATAACCTGAAAACCATTAACGATAAAATAACTGATAACAAAATTTTATTTTTATATAAATGGATACCCCACAAGCTCAAAATTTACCACGAATCATAACAAGGGAGGAAATGATAAAAATGATGCAAGAACGAATTAAAAACAACAAACCACGAAAACCGAGAAGATGCGGTTATGCAGTAATGATGGAAAGAAGAACCCAGAAGGGTTCGGCGTCTCGAAGAGACGTTGTCGAAGAGGAATAAAAATTAAATTTGGATTGAGTTTAAAAATTCATCTTTATTAAATTCATCTCTTCCAATCAATTTATTTATTCTATTAAATTCTTTTATTTTTGCTTCACCCAGTTTAAGGATTGAACGGTAAGTTTCTAATTTTTCGATTATTTCTTTCCTCTCTTTATCGTTTTCAGTTCCATTAGTTTTATGGGCATCAGCCCCACCGCATTGCGGCTTCTTTTTGTAATAGCATATTTTTGATTTAATTCTGTTTAGTTTCTTTTTATATTCATCGTCTGGACTCTGAATCTTAATTGAATCAGGACTCTTGGATGCTTCGTTGTCACTCATTTCTTACGAAATAAAAAAATTAAATATTATTTAAATATAATGGAGTAATAAAATAAATCGGAATTTCTATTAATTTATTGTTAACCTCAACTAATGCATTGCCGTTAATATATCTAACAAATTCAGCTATTGTGTCAAATCTTCGTCTTCTTTTTGTCATTGATTTATCAGTTTTTCCATAATCGAGATGAATCAAAACTTTATCCCCTTGTTTAAAATTCATGAGCCCCGAATTAATTTGTTCACGTTTAACATCATTTAACCTTTCCATTTGCTTTCTAATATATCCCCATTCTTTTGAAATATCATTTTTCATTTCCACTGGTTTCATGTTTATAGTTCTATGCCATGTATTATTGTAATAATATACTAACTGTTGTATGATGGAGTCATGATTTCCATCCCAGTATATCTGACCGTTAACCCCTAACGCATCTCTAAGAGTTCTCATTACCGCATCAACTATTTTATTATGAAACGTATATGGAGAAGATGAGAAGTAAAAATTAATTTGTGGGAAATAATGAGCCATAGTTGCCTGAAATCCTTTATCACCATCACTCCTTATATTATCTACTCTTTCATGATCTAGTAAGTATTGAATAGCTCTTCTTGTTTCCTGTTCTGTTTTCCCTTTCACTGGAATGCAATATAAATATCTAGTGTTAATGTTAATGGCAAATAAATAAGTAACGTTTCCTTTTGAATATTCTAAATGATCGATTTCGTATGAATATGGATATGGAGCAAATGAAGGGCGACTAAATTTTTCCTTTAACGGTTGAATTTTTGGGTCAGTTGGTTTATTTAATATCTTGAAATCCTTTTTAAAATCTTTTTGCTTCTTTAATGTTTGAAATGGATATAATAAAGTGAATGATGAAGGATTAACTGAAGGAGGAGGTACTACCGTTGGAGGTTTTGGTGTTGCAAGTGGTTTAATTTTATCTGCTTTGATTTTGGATGATGAAGGATTAACTGAAGGAGGAGGTACTACCGTTGGAGGTTTTGGTGTTGCAAGTGGTTTAATTTTATCTGCTTTGATTTTGGATGATGAAGTTTTGGAATTCATTCCTCCCGTCATTAATTCTGGATATATTCTATTCATTTGTTTTAAATATGCTGTATATAAAGGTTTGATATACTTTCCCGCTTCGAGTTTATGTTGAAGGATGAATTCCAAAAGTTGATCTTCATTTAAAAGTCGGGCTGAATATGGTTTAACTAATGAATCATAAATTAAAGCTTGTGCTTCATTTATGGTCTGAAGGACCTGGGCGTTTTGCACCTTTTGTTTTTGTTCCTTTGGTTTTTGTGGCTCAGGATTATATAATTTATATAATTCATCAATATCTTCTTCTGTTAATACTTTATTTTTGAAATCTTTCAGCCGTTTAAGTTGTGATTTAGTTTTTCCCTTTGTATATTCATTATTTTTAATTTTGTCTTTAATTTTAGAAATTATTTCATCATGAAATTTCAAAATTTCATTTTTATAATACTGATAATAATATTCCATATCATCACCCGTTATATTGTTATTATGTTTTTGGAGATATGATTTTAATTCACAATAACTAAGAAAATTTTGATTAAATACTAAATTATAAATTAAATTTTTTAAATATACGTCATCCATTTATATAAAAATAAAATAAGTGTTTTAAGGGCGCCCGCCCCTTTGAATCATAGTATCAAAACCATTATTTACATATTGAATCGCATCATTAACGGTTCCTTTTGTCTCTTCTGTGGCATTTCATTAAGAATAAAATTTTAAATTGTATTAAATAAATGGCATACAACATCCATTTTCACAACATACAGCCTTAGTGTGTGCTCCTGTTAATGCAGTCTTACCGATTGTTAAGCGAGTCATTGACCTGTTTTTAAGTTGTAAATTAATATTCTGACCATCAAATATCACTTTATCATTTATTATATCCAAATAATTTTTAGGTGTTAATTGTTTATTTTGTCGTAAACTAACACCTTTCATTTTTTGTGCAATCTTTTTAAAATCACTTCCATCAATTGAACCGTTGAATGATGTATAACACTTAGGACATAAAGCAACCTGTTATCACCCTGTTTCTCAATTGCTAAGCCCAATAACTTCTTCTCATGTGCTTTTTCTTCAGCTTTATTCTTTAATTTAGGTTTAAATTTCTCATCAAAACAGAAGAAATCAAAAGGTGCGAATTTGAAAATGTTTTTATCATAAAATTGTTTATCGGTAACAATTGCTTGAAATGCTTGAGTGTTAGGAAGATTTGGGTCGCCAGCGATTGCCCAATAAGATGAATCAGGATCACCTTCAATGAAATGAAAACGATTAACATCCATGCATTTATACATAAAATAATAAATGAAAACTAAATACCAGTATTTTGCGTTATCTAAAGTGAAGAATGCCTCTTGTAAACATGTATCACATCTATAAAATCTATCTTTAAGCATCACTTGATATGTATCCTCACCTATTTCTCTTATGTTTTTAAACTTATTTGACATACATGCAACGCGTGCCTTCTGTGCATTTATGATTTTAGTCTTTGCGTAATTTTGTGTATTCATTGCATCGTAACCATATGATCCATTAAGTGAAATCTTGCAAAATAAACTTTTTCCTTTATTTCCTTCTAATTCAGCCTTTTGTCTTTCGTTCATAAATTTGTTCGCAAATTCATTAAAACAAGTGTTTTTCGTAAATGTTAAAATTGATTGAATATCATCGATGATAAAATGAAATCTGTCGATTAGATACCAAAGATAATAAGAAGAAAATGGTTGATATTGGTTGTGTGTTGATGCTAACTGAGTTAATTTCCTCTGTTTCTGGTCAACTGGTAAATTGTTTGATTTCATGTAATTATACATAAAACTGCCAATTGTTTTTCATCTGTGATAATATCTAAGTTTCTTATTATCGGTAAAAAGTTTATGTAATCATTAATGTATTTTTCATCAATGTGACCCTTTACTTCAGCCACGAATAAAGTATTTTTCTTCTTAATTATTCCCAGTGCTTTTGCTTTCTTTGTTGCTGGATCACAAATGATAACACCATTCAATCTTCCCGGCATATACATTTTATGGTCAGTATATTGAATGAAATCATGAGGATTAGATGAAAATGATGAAGGATATAATGAATTAAAATCAACACCAACGAAATGAGTCATGATGTTGAAGTGTCCTCATTTGATACAGTTTTAGTTTCTGGACTATATGAAAGTTTATTAATGTGCGTGATTCCTTTAAGATTTACTCTATGTTGAACATTTGATAGACCAACAGTAATTCCATTACGGAGAATGTGATAAGCTTCAACTGAATCTAAAGTCATTGGTAAATTATTTTTTAATGCGTGATTTCTTAAATTGATTCTTAAACGTTGAATCTTCATCTTTATTTGATTTTACGACATTGCAATAACAACACATTAACTGACAATTTTCTTTGGTATGTGGTTTTTCATTATCGATTCTATCTAATGTTGGTTTATTTGCATATGTAAACGCTTTACCACACATTTTGCATTTAGATGAAAGGATTAAATCGTGATAGTATTGAAAATCATCCATTGAAACATTATTTTTAGTATCTCTTTCTGCTTTTTCATCTTGTTTCTTATATGATTCAATTTTATATTTCCAATACTTTTTCGTTAATTCAAAACTTGATTCTATCTCTTCCTCAGGATATTTTTCATTAGGATTAAAGTCTTTATATGCTAAAGCGTAACGAATCATTGAAGCATTCGATGATAAAGAAAGATTATGAAGCATGTCAATTTTATAAACAAATGTTTCTTCAATAATTTTATCGATTGGGTCAATCATAATTTCAACATCTTTATTGCAATAATGAATAAAATATTCTAATCTATTCTTAAAGTTTTTAGCATCATTGAGATATATTTGATAATCACTATCTGATATAGTTTCTTGAGTTAATGCTGAATAAAATGAATCTTTCGTGAATGGTTCCACTTTATATAATTCTTCTTCGTAATTTTCCCACGTGATGAATTGATATGGGAAAAAGGATTTAACACGTGATTTATTGTTTCCGAAATTACGAGTGAATTGGTCTAATGTCCCACCCGCTATATAATTTCTGATGTCAATAAATCTCAATTCATATGGAACGTTTGTTTTCTTTACAATGATTTGCTTAAATTGTGAAGATGAACCCAGCATTGATTTTATTTTCCATTTTGCAGTGTTTAAATCACGAAGAATTAAATTTAAATCAAACTTTCCCGAATTAAAACCTATGATATTCACTTTATTGAATTCCTCATCTAGAAGTTCTTTAAATGCTTCCTTCTGTTTTTCATTTAATGTATGGGACAAAGTCCCCACCGTTTGCGGCTTCAATAATTCTTCATATTGTTCAATATTTGATTCAACAACTAATGAACAGGTTGAAAATAAAAACTCAATCCAATCAGAAATAAAAGAATCACTCGAAGTTAAACAAAAATTCCTCGTATATGTTTTATCATTTAATTTAACCGTTGATGATACCATGAATGGTTTTAAGTAAGCGTTCAAAGTTGCACACTCAGAAAGTTGTAATTCTTCTTTAGTCTCTAATGTTTCAAAGTCAAAAGTAATATAATATCGTGTCGGTTTATAATATTTCTGCAATTATGAGCTAATAACCACTGATATATCTTCTGTTTCGTAATATGTGGTGCATATGGTTGCTGGGTCTTTTGCAATTGAACGTCTTGAATTAATCTTCCATTATTTTCTTTACATTTCTCACAATGCTTTAAAAATCTTCTTTGGTTTTTCCTTTCTGGATCATCACGGATAGAATAAACTTCTTCTTTACAATATGGACAAACTTTATAGCCGGTGAGTGCTTCAACGTCTGTTATTCTGTCAGCGTGAAGTTTTCCACATGGACTTTGTGTTAATAAAATATTTACTGTTTCAAATTCTGGATCTATCATTATTGATTCCACTAATGGAAAGTCTACCTTATTTATGTCCACGTCTTCTGGTTGAGGATCACAATAATAGAAATCAATATTAACATTTAACATTCTCGCTAATCTCTCACTTTCTGATGAAATGTCAAACCCTTCATATGCATCTATTGCTTCATTTAAATAGCTTCTACGAGTTTTAGGATTAACACCATCAGGAATGTTATAGAAGCGTTTAAATAACCTTCTACCTTCTGCTCTTATTTGATTATCATTCATTTTAGCTGTTCCGTTTTTGTTCATTTATGTAAGAATAAAAAATTAAAAAATAAATAAAAATAAAGTTTATTTTTTAAAGCCCATAAAATGAATTAAGAACACATAAATTTTTATCATCTGCGACGTGACGAATACATTTTAATTTACTCAAGAATGTGTACCCTGACACATTAAATCTAATTCCTGTCTTATTTAATTTCACAACTTTGAAAAGGAATGTATGAATAGCTATAAAATGATGAGAAGATGTTTTATGGGTTGCTTCCATTTTTTCTGAAATAAATGAATAAATATAATGTTTATAAGTTTTCATATCTTTTATATTCTTAATAACGAATGGTATAGACCTTTCCACTTCATCTTCCTTCGGTGCTGTTCTTTCATATGAAACATTATTGGTATCTTCAATAATGAAACCACAATCACATAAAATTTTATATGTTCCAATGGTTTCTTTTGATATTTTATCTAATAAATCAAAAACTTTATCAACACCTATGCATTTATTTAAATAATAATTTGTGTAAATATCATGATCTTCTTTCTTAATCGTATTAGTTGCATATGTCACGTTTTTAAGAGCTTTTTTGAATTTCTCAGAATCTAAAGGTGGTGAAAGTAGGATACAGGGGTATTCTTCATTATCAATAAATTGTAACTTATGTTTACGAATAAATTTAGTACCTTCTTCTGAAAGTGTTTCGTCTATTTCACCATCTAATAAATTTTGTGTTGATTCTGAGACATAATTTTTATATCTTTCTTCATGAGATTTCTGTACTTCCGATTCTGAAGCTGGGATATTCATTAAACCCTCTACTTCATTTTCATTATATTTTTCAACTTCTCTTAATTCCTTAATTTTTTCATCTATTTCATCTCTTATTTTTTCCAGTCTTTCAATTTCAATTTCATTGTATTCATCATCTTTAATCCGTTCTTCATAATATTCAGGGAAAACATCAGGTTCTTTAGGTTTTTCTTCTTCAGATGTGGGATATAAGAAATTTATAACATCATCTTTATTCATTTTTCCATCATAATCTAAATCATTTAATAACTCGGCAAATTTTTGACAATTTCTTAAATAATATTTGTTAACTGCATAACCTACCTCTTCTAATATATCCTCTATTTCCTCGTTTGTGAATCCTAATTTTTTCACGTCGTTAGTTTTGACGCTCATTTCATACAAAATAAAAAAATAAAATAATAAACATAACTAAGTTTTAATTTTTCGTAAGAAGTTTATTTTTTAAAAATTTTTTATTTTTTATTTCATTATGGTAGTGAATCTTTTACTCTCTCGTATATACTAGATTTAATAATTCACAATCTTCATTTTTAAATTGAAGTTTAACCCATTCAGTTCTTCAAAAATAATTAATTAATCGCGGAATATCTGACATCATCTATATATAGCTTCTTTTATAAAAGATAAAAAATAAATTATTTTAAAATTAATGTTAATTTTTTAATGATTTATTTTTAAAAATTTTTTTTATTTCATTATGTATGGGTTGAGTGTAAATGTCTTACAATTTTGAAAATTTTTTAAATCTTGATTTATTCAAAAACGTAAGAATAAAAACCGTAAGAATCATACATTTTTTTACTTCATATGTTAAAAAAATGATACAAAATCGCTCGATATTGTATGAATTCTTACGTTTACAAAAAAGGTCACTAAACCCGTCATACCCTACTACTAGTATTCCCCAAAACGACATCTTTAAAAAAAAGCATATTAAAGCTTAAATAATATTATTGTTATTCAGAGAAATGAAATAATTATTTTTTCTACAAAACAAATAAATAGAAATTTCTAATTAAACCCATCTGGTCGTAGGACCAACATGATGGGAAACAAGATGATGTTGCATCTTCCCAATATCCATTGGAGAGATGATCTGTTTCTTCGAGAGAGTATTCGCTTTCTGCAAGGGTTTCACTGTTACCATTCTTTTCTTCTGCTGCGTCGTCACAACCGGTGGAGGCTTCTCCCTCCCTGTCGACAGTTTCGACGTTGGCCTTGTGTTGTTTCCTGAGGGAGATATAGATTTTGTCGACAGAGTTTGATGCAGTTTTGTATTGTTTTGTTGTGGAAAAGATTTTAAACTTGCTGTCGATCTCATCTGTACTGGTTTTTTCTCTTGTCTTGAAGATGGAAGTGTGGATTTGCTTTCTGCATTTTTTGGAGATTGTTTCTCTTCCACTTTCTTCTCTATCAAATTTTTCAGTGAAAGAGGTGTTTTTTCAATAATGCTGGCTGCTGCCATTGATTTCGCTTGGAGCTGCGATTGCTGTTGCTTATCTTGCTTCTTGGAATTGTCCATGACATCCATAAATGGAATGTTTCCGCGAACATCGATAGTCGAACTTAATGTGGCTGTTGTCTCCATAGCTTTCTTGTATTCTGTCATTTGCTCGCTATTTGATGTAGGGTAAATGCAATCGTAATGTGAAATTCCTTGGGATTGACGAATGGTATCTTGGATAATGTCGGGAGGTGTCTTTTTAGGCATGAACTGAGCTTCGAGCTGCGCCTTTGTCGATGTATTGAGTTTTTCTATATGAGAAACTGGTGGGGTAACGATTTTAAGAAGGGTAGATAACATATCTATTTTTAACATGGCTTCTTTTGGAATGTCTGATGCAAGGGAAGGTCTATAATTGACTTCTAAGATCTTGGGTTCGTAATCGCTGTTGATAAGTATATCAAATCCGAGTAATTGGAAACATCTTTGGAATTGATACGGAGGACAGTACTTCTTTTCGGCTGCTTCGAGGATCTTTAGTGACGATATGATTGTAAGGACTATGATTCTGTCGATTTTGTCCCATAATTTTTGAATATTTGTAACTTTTTCTAATTCTTGAAAAGTTTCTGTAACAGTCTTAGTTATTTGTTCAATTGAGACATGATTCGGATTGGTTCTATTCACAGCAGTGTTCGTTATTTGGCCGAATACAGAATCTGATGAATTTGTCGCAGAACAGAACCTGGCGACTCCATCGCGGTAAACATAGACACGCAAAGGACGTATAGATGCAACTAGAGCATAAATTCTTAAATCGAATTTAGTATTATTGATTAAAGCTGATTCAACAAATTCTTGCATAACAGCTGCTGTATTTTGGTAATTGAACTTGGTATCTGGTTTTAATATGACAATTCCACAGCCAAGGGATCCATTGTCAGGTTTATAAATGTATTTTTTATTTGAATCTTTTCGATCTGTTAGAAATTGTGAATATTCTTGAGGTAAAACGTAACTTTTAGGAAAGAAATTGTATATATCTGGTAATTTGCGCGACATTCTTGTTAATAGACGGAATAACGGAGCTTTTCTACAAATATAATTAATTCCTGGTAAACGATTTACAACTTGCCATGGTTTAATATTTCCCATTTCTGAGTCTTGCTCTTTTAGTGTGTCATACCAAACAATTGGGCAATTATCTTTTTCATTATCATTATTTATGATAACAGCTCCAACTTTTGTTATTGCTGTCATCACTGTTCCGAATAGAATCTTACCATTTGCTATTCGGAGTGACATCTTTCTCTTATTTAAGAAATTAAGGTGACTTTTTTTGAGGAAAAAAAATTTACAATTTTCAATTGTCGATTATCGTTCTCCATCGGCAAATTTACAATTCCGTTTTTTTTTCTCGTTAGTCTTTTAAGAAACAGAGTACTAGACTAATTAGTGTTTTTCAACTCTATTTTGTTCAAAACTGATGATTTCCAAAAACAATTGAGATTTTGACTGTTAATTAATGCTTTTTAAACAAGAAATAATGATGTACTTGTCACATAAAACGTTTAATTTAAGTATTTTTGATTTTTTTATTCCATAAATTAAATTATAAACATAAAAGTGTGAGATTTTAATTCTCACGCAATAAGTAAAGTAGATTTTTCTTATTCGTCTGGTTCCGACTCAATATCTGGTATATCTCCTTCTATTACATTGACTTTTTCTGAATGGTTTTCCTCAGTTTTTTCGTTTTGTTCCTCTTGTGGCTTTCCTTCTTCGGTATTTTGCTCTGTTTCATCATCTGAAGGAACATCTGGTACATCATCAGAAACTTTTTCTGGTTCTAATGATTTCTTATCAGAAGATGTTTTTTCTTCATCAATATTCTCAATAATGTGAGAAATTATGTTATCTATTGCTTCTTTGGCCACTTCTTCGGAAACTTTTTCGTTACTTTTTTGATTTTCAACAGAACGTTCTTTTACAACTGGTTCTTCATCATTTGATTCAATGTTATTGATAATATTGTTTACGATATTTTCCACTGTTTCTTTGGCTATTTCTTTGTTTTCAATTCCTTCATCGGAATCAAAGTCTTCTTCGTCATTTATTTGTTCAACTGATCTTTCTTTTATTTCGTCGTTTTGAGGAACAAGAGATTTGTAGTCTAATTCTGTCTGTTTCGGATCTTCGTCAGTGATGACTGAAGAGAGCACTGAGTGGACTGTTCCATCAGCTAAGTCTTGAACTGTTGAATGAATCGCGGCTTCGTCTTCTTCAGTCAATTCATGTGGAGTTATATGATCTGAATTAAATGGTTTTTCCTCTGAATCAAAGTTTCCAATAATTGATGAAATAATGCTATCGACTGTGTTCTTTGCTAAATTGTCAACTCCTTCGTGTATTGCTGCCTCATGTTCTTCAGAGAGTTGATGTTCATCATCTTCTTCATTCTTTGGTTTTTCTTCTTCAGAAGGAGCTTTGAATTCCCTTTTTTCAATTTGCTCTTCTTCTGAATGAACAGACAATTCATGTTCTTCCTCTTGTTTATGCTCTTCTGTTGCTTTCTGTAACAAATTAGATAGTCCACCAAATGGTTTCGATTCTTCAGATTGCTTTGATTCTTCCTCTTGTTTTTCTTCTAGTTTGTTTTCCGCTGATTGAGAAGTTTCAAATTCTCTTTCATCAATTTTATCTTCTTCTTCTTGCTTATGTTCTTCTGTTGCTTGCTGTAAGAGATCTGATAATCCACCAAATGGTTTTCCTTCTTCTTTACTCTCTTCTTCTTTCTTTTGTTCTTCTTGTTGTTTATCTTCTGTTGGAGTTTCGACTTCTTTCTCTTCAACTTCAGGCTCTTCCTTCTTTTCTTCCTCTTGTTTAGGTTCTTCTTCAACTGCTTTCTGTAACAAATTAGATAGTCCACCAAACGGTTTAGATTCTTCAGTCTTTGACTGTTCTTCTTCCTTCTTTTCTTCTTCCTTCTTTTCTTCTTCCTTCTTTTCTTCTTCCTTCTTTTCTTCTTCCTTCTTTTCTTCTTCCTTCTTTTCTTCTTCCTTCTTTTCTTCTTCCTTCTTTTCTTCTTCCTTCTTTTCTTCTTCCTTCTTTTCTTCTTCTGGAGCAGTGAATTCTCTTTCGTCAACTTTTTCTTCTTCTGTTGTTTTTTCTTCTTCAACTGCTTTCTGTAACAAATTAGAAAGTCCACCAAATGGTTTTCGTTCTTCTTTACCCTCCTCTTCTTCTTTCTTTGGTTCTTCTGGTTGTTTCTCTTCTTCTGGTGATTCAAATTCTCTTTCTTCAGCTTTTGGTTCTTCTTCTTTCCTATCTTCTTCATTTTGTTTAGGTTCTTCAACTGCTTTCTCAAGTAGATTAGAAAGGCCACCAAATGATTTCGATTCTTCCTCTTTCTTTGCTTCTTCTAGTGATTCAAATTCTCTTTCTTCGACTTTCTTTTCGTCATCGGCCCTTTCGAGTGCTTCATTTACTTCTCGTGATAGAGAAAGAGATTCTGGTTTCTTTTCTTCTGGTTCGAAATCATCTTCAATTTCTTTCTTTTCTTCTTCTTTTGGTTTTTCATCTTCTGGAGCTGATTCGAAGTCATCTTCCTTTTGTTTCTCCTCTTCTTTCTTTTCATCGAGAGCTTCTTTGAACTCATTAGTCAGAGATAGTTCTGGTTTGTTATCTTCTTCATGTTTAGAAGGAATTTCAAATGCGTCTTCTTCGAAATCCGGTTCTTCTTTCTTTTCTTCTTCTTTTTGTTTCTCTCCTTCCGGAGAAGATTCGAAATCATATTCTTTAAGAGTATCTTTGACTTCGTTTGCAATAGAAAGTTCTTGTTTCTTTTCTTCTTTCTCCTCTTGTTCAAAATCATTTCCTTTCTTTTCTTCTGTTTGTGGAGCAGCAATAACTTTTTCTTCTTCTATTTGTTTCTTTTCTTCGGGTTCTGATTCAAAGTCATCTTCTTCCTTCTTTTCAAGTGTTTCTTTGATTTCGTTTTCAAGTGATAACTGATGTGGCTTCTCATCTTCTTTATTTTCTTGTGGCTTCTCATCTGATTCGAAATCATCATCCTTATTCTCTTCTTTGACTTCTTTTGTAAGAGATAAACTTTCTTCTTTCTTTTCTTCATCTGATTCGAAATCATCATCCTTATTCTCTTCTTTGACTTCTTTTGTAAGAGATAAACTTTCTTCTTTCTTTTCTTCATCTGATTCGAAATCATCTTCTTCCTTCTTTTCTGCTTTAATTGTTTTTTCTAGTTCATCTTTCTTCTCTTCTCCTGCATTGATAAGTGCTTCATTGACTTCTTTAGTGAGAGATAAATCCTGTGGCTTTTCCTCTGAAGGAGTTTCTTCTTTCTTTTGTTCGGTTTGAGGAGCAACAAAATCTCTTTCTTCTGCTTTCTCCTCTTCCTCATTGTGTTCATTTGTAGCGAGGTTTGATGGGATTACTAAGTTGTTCACTGACTTGAAATACATTGATTTCTTAGATTCTGTTGGATCTAAGAAATCTGGATCCTCAAAGTCAGGCGGGCAAACTTCTTTTTGCTCTTCCTCTTCATTTACTTCTTTCGTTAATGATGATTCTTCTGGTTGTTTCTCTTCTTCCACTTTCTTGTCATCATTATTTTGTTCAAGAGCTTCATTTACTTCTTTAGTAAGAGATAAATCTTCTTGTTGTTTCTCTTCTTCTTTTTCGTGTGGTTTTTCTTCCTCAACTTTCTTTTCTGCTGATGGAGTTACTTCTTCATTTCGTTCAAGAGTTTCATTAATTTCATCTGTAAGAGATAATCCATGCTGTGGTTTTTCTTCTTCTTTCTTTTCTTCTTCTTTCTTTTCTTCTTCTTTCTTTTCTTCTTCTTTCTTTTCTTCTTCTTTCTTTTCTTCTTCCTTCTTTTCTTCTTCTTTCTTTTCTTCTTCTTTCTTTTCTTCTTCTTTCTTTTCTTCTTCTTTCTTTTCTTCTTCTTCTTTTTGTTCATTCGGAGCGAGATTCGAAGGAATGACTAAGTTGTTCAATGATTTGAAGTACATTGATTTCTTTGACTCAGTTGGATCCAAGAAGTCTGGATCTTCAAAGTCAGGAGCTGGGGGTTGAGTTTCTTGTTGTTGTTGTTGAGGAACAGTGAATTCTCTTTCCTTCCTTTCGCTTTGGTTCTCTTCAGTAAGCGATGGAACAATGATTTTGTCTTCTAAACTCTCATTCAGAGTGTCAAAGATCTGTATTCCTGATGTTTCGTCCTTTCGTGGTGTTGGAGGTTCGCTGAATCCTTCGAATGTACCTGAGAAATCGAGTTTGCGTGGTGAAGTCGGTGGAGTTTCCTTTTTAGGCTCTGGCTCTTTGACTTCATGCATTTGCTCTTCTTTTTCATGCTTCTCTTCCTCTTTTGGTTGATTTTCTTCTTCTTTTTCGTGTTTTTCTTTTGGTTTTTGTTCAAATTTATCATTAATAATTTTGGCAAGGGAAAGATCTTCTTTGGGCTCTTCTTTTACCTTGTCTGTAGCATTTTCTTGGCTTTCTGATTTATCAGATGCACTTTCCTTGAGGTTTTTGTTGCGTGGATTTGCTGATGGAGGAGTTGTAGGTTCTGATGATGGAGAAGCTTCAATATTCAGCTCTGTAATTGATGATGGATCAATAACTAAGTTAATACTTCTGAATCTTGGATTTTGTCTCTTTGGTTGTTCAGCAAATACTTCTGAAGCGGATTCTTCGTTGTTTTGAGGAGGAGTCTGATTTCGAGTATGTCTTCTAGCGCGATGACGGTGTTGTGGGCTTTGTTTTTGCTCCTGTGGAGGCTGTGGTTCTTGAATAATTTCATTCGAGTTCGTATCTTGGTCAGAATTTGTTAAAACTTTGCGGCGAACACTATTGCGAAGTTGATTATCTGGCTCTTTCGGTTTATTGCTGTGATCGATATGTTTAATACGATTTTTCACAGGATCAATTTGAGGCTTACAAACAGGGATTGTGCCTTTTCGAGGTTTCTTTTGGACGCAGTCTATGACTGTCATTCCATTATCCATCCTCATTTGGTTGATTGTTTCTTCGTCATCTTGATTTTGACCAAAAACAACTTGAGTCGAAGATGCAGTTGGCAAAGTTCTTAGCATTTCCTGTTGCTCTTCCGTTGTAGTGTTTTTGTCTTCTTTATTTAAGTCATCCAACCAATTATCTTTGATTCCACGAGCAGTTTTTCGAGATTCAATATCCCTGATATATTTCATGTTTTCTTCGTCAGTTCTCTTTTTCTCAGCACGTTCCTTGATCCTTCTGTCTTCATAATATTTCATTCTTGGACATGGCTCAGCAGGAGTTGTATCAATTAGTGGTTGAGCATTCTTCAATGCGTGGATGTGAAGCTTGTATGAACGGTGCTTCTCTAATATATCGAGGTACTCGTTCAAGACAGGTGGCTTCCGATGCATTGATAATAAGCGGTTATTTTCAATGAATTAATGGTTGGTGCTTGTGTATAGTATAATAAACATAATTCTGGATTTTTTGTTGCTTACATCAATCTGAATATTTGTGAAGTTTACATGTTTACATTGAGCTCAAAAATTATCAACGATTTTTCAGCTCTTTATAAGATCGTTAGTAAACTTGTTTGAGAAGAGCGGCGTAATTTGGCACTGAATTTATTGATATTTCTGATATCTTTTATAAGATGATTCTATCCATTTGATATGAAATTTATATGAATCAATACCGAAATGGTACTTAACATAACAATTAAATTTTGGTTAATGTGAACAACTTTGTATCTAAGTATGTAGTACGATATCTCGACAATAAGCAATAAGTTACGAAAAGTAATGAAATGATAATGTTAAATTCATGTTCCTTCAGTTTTACTATTTAGAAAATCAGATCATGTTAAAAAGTTTATATCTCAAATAATCAAATAAATATTTAAAGCTTATGATAACATATTTGCATGCTTTAAGTATCCATTTATATTTATTTTACTTAAGTCATTTCAATATTTCCGTTTCAAAAGATAAAAAAACAATATTTAAGGGTGCACCCGTATGTACGTTTATTTGAGAGGAGGAGGATTACCCTCTCAATTTTGAGGGATTCGTTAGTTTATTTTCTCGATGAATATGCAATAAAATTTGATTTTTACCTTATCAATATACTTCATATAATATACACATGTTCATGTAAAAACTTTTTTCCAAAATCCTCAGGAATTAAGGGACTTTTGAATTTTAAGAATTTTTTTCGAATTTTTTCGAAAAAAAAATATTTTCAGAACAGCCTTAACGGCTAAGATTTAGGAACAATGTTAAGTATCAAAAAGAAAGGAGGTCTGATATAGACAACATATATCGTTGAAGGTTGAAAAAATCTCTAATATTTGAGCCCAAAATTTCAAATTTTAATTTTTTGAAAAAAGAGGCCACCCGTATGTACGTTTATTTGAGAGGAGGAGGATTATATTTTTGAAAGGGTGAAACATTATGAATATGTTAATTATATAATAATATGTATTATTATAAAAAAGAAAAAATAAATCACGTTAAAATTTTTCTTTCTTGATTTTTTACAAAAATCTACTTAGAATTATGCAAAATATGACTAAATAATTATAAATTTCAAGTTAAATTTTAATTTTGATAAATAATTTAAATTTCAAAATATCAAGTTCAGTTCGACTAATGTATGTAGTAATTCCTCAATAAAGTGCCAAAACCCTATTAAAATATATGAATCATTTTCAACATTTAATGTTTTTATTTAAAAATTTGATGAATATGAGCTTCAAACAATTATTATGTAAATAAAAATAATTAAATATATGTATTTATTCGTATTACAACCGTAGTAAGTCGATTCTTCCTTTCTTCTACTGAGTTTTGAATTTGATTTCGAATTGTAAAGAGATTCAAAGGGAAAATACTAGCGGATAAAAACTACCTCCATGAAAGGGTCATAATGGACTCAAGTTGTATTTTTTGATATTTTTTGCTTTTCGAGCCTAAATAGGTAGCCAAGATAATGCCTAAAAATAAGGTTCTAAATTCTGAAGTTTACATGATCCTCTCGTGTGCACCCTTAATATTTTATTATCTGAAACATAAAATATATCAATGTGATTTATGATTCAATAGCTTTTGGTTTTGAAACAGCGGCTTCGATTTGAGGTGTTAATGGAATGCCCATTTCTTTAAAGACCTGAGAGTATTGATTTGCTGTTTCTTCTTCCATGTATCCATCATCATCCCAAAGATCATCTGTAAGGCCATCCATTACCTCTCCTTTCATATCCATCATTTCATTTTCCATCATGAACTTTTGCATAATGGCTTGCATCTGAGGAAGATTTACCATTCTATTGAGCTGTGTCATTGCCTGTGTTGCTATCTTAAGAGCATTCATTGAGCCGCTCTGTGCCTTGATTAATGTGATTCTGAGGCCAAGGGATTCAAGTGTTGATTTCAATTTCAGCATCTTTCTGGCAGCCATCCTATTGCGCACAATATCTTTGGCTAGAATGGTAAGAATTTCTGTCTGACCTTTCTTTGCAGCATTCTTCATTTGTGTTTTAATTTGATTTTCTTGCCTAGAAATTCTATTGAATTCTCTTTCTATCTCGCGTTCTGACTTTCTTAGAGAAAACTTGAACTGCTTAAGCTTCTCATCTGGATTTACTCTAAATCCGAACAATCCCATTTGGAAAAATGAAGTGTTTGATTTTTTCATTGATTTGAAATCTCAAAAAAAATTTCAATGGAATTTTTATCACAAAATTGAGAGGAAATTATAACGCAAAAATTTACACCGGATAAATTTTTCGATAATATTATACGCATTTTAAAACTTTATAATATATAAATGTGGACCCATAGTTACAGTAAAGTCTTAAAACTCTAAAACAAAAACCTCTCCGGTTATTTCAAAAATTGCGATTTAACCTTGAAAGTCAGCTTTCTCTGATTAAAGGATAAATTATTGTGATTTCATAAAATGAAAAAAAAAAAAAGGTAGTGGGGCTTCCAGGCACTTCGTGCCCTCTAGCCCCGAAGATGTTTAGTATAAATGAAGTTTTTATTCGGAAAATTGTTAGTCTTCTGGTGTGAATTCGGAGGACTCTTCTTCTTCCTCCATTGCTTCTGGGAAGAAGCCTTCTTCTGGGTCGAAAACATTATATAATGTTTCACTTTTCACAAATTATATATGTTTTCATGCTTTGTCACTTTTCTGTCACTTTTCGGGTAAAAACATTTTTATTATTATATATAAATGAATTTTACAAAACCACCGTTACCGTTCTTTGGAAATAAGAGTAAATGTAAAGATATTATATTGAGAGAACTTAAGAAACTACCGAATGGTCTAACATTTGTAGATTTGTTTCGGTGGAAGTTTCTATATATCCCATTTGTGCCATACAATATTCCCAGACTCAAAGTTATATGCAATGACTTCGACAAACTATATGGACCGTCTCAAACATATACCAGACACAAAAAATAATTGAGTGAGTTAAAAGAAAAGATACTATAGGTAAGATGGAACGTATACCATTAGATAAGAAAAAATATTGTGAGAGAGGTTTTGAAAAAAGCAGAATATATAACTGGAATAGTATATCTGCTAGACTATTATATAGTGGTGCTATAAAGAGTTCATGACATTGAAACACTTATGTCAAAAGTTTTATATCTTAACTATACAAATGTTTTCAAAGAGGACATAGAAAATATATTGAGGGTATAGAGTTTGTGAGATGTCATTGGACAGATTTGTATGAAAAATATAAAGACAAGGAAAATGTTTTCTTTATAGTGGACCCGCCGTTCTATAACACATGGGATTTTCAATACCAAGTAGACTGGACTTTGAGAGACTCTTTAGAAACTTTAGACGTTTTACATAACCATCCATGCTTTTACTTTACATCCGATAAAAGTGGTTTGGAAACCGTTATGAGATGGTTAGAGGACATACATGACTATGAGTTTATATATGACAAGATAGAATATGAGAGAGGTCCTATAACTGGAGAAAGTGTCATAACAAAGAAATTTTATTAGTAAGTAAATGTGGTTTGAAATGGGACTATTGTTTTAGGTTTTTTCCATTGTGTCATTTATTTATTTGACGTGGCAGAAAAGTACAGAGAATATGAAGATGAACAATGCCTGCAAATGTTCAGTATATGTATCGTAAGAGATATTTTTATCTAATATTAAATGGACGCACAGAACTTAGCGAATGCACAGCAACCTGGACAACCAAACCCAGAGAATATTCCAAATGAAGTTAGAATACAACTGCAATGGCAAACTATGGTCAAGTGCCACAGATGTACAAATGCAAACTGCCATGTCAAATGACGCTGCGTTAGGTTTGCCACCATGGTATGCAAAATATGAGATGGAAAGAGTTTTATACAAACCCTGAAGTGGGATATAAACAACTTTATGCAGATGACGCGAACACAGGAGTTGACCAGAATATGTTTTCTACCAGAGGAGAAACAGAATGTATGAGCTCCAGTTAAAGAATGCTATGGAACTCAACAGGAAACGTAAGAGCTAGGCGGACATTAGATTTTTACATATAGTAAAATGGGTTTCTTCAGTAAGATAGGAACTTCTTTCGAAATGTTGGAAGAGGTATATGGAATGGAATAAAAACCGTAGGAAGAGGAATTTGGAACGGTGTCAAAAATATTGGTAAAAGAGTAGGTCAGTTTGTTGTATTATACCTAAAGACCCTGAACCAGAAGAGCAAGCTCCTGTTATATACAACAGCTGAACCTGCACCACAGTCTAGTTGGCAACAAATCCAACACCTCAACCGTATTAAAAATTATATTTTACCGTTCGATAGTAGTTGTATATGAAACTAAGTTCTAAGTAAAACGCATGGTATAATGGAATTATTCTTTTTCTTCCATCTGTAGTAAACCATACTTGAAAGTCTGAAATACTTCCACTTGGTGGTTCGTATAACTTTGTAGGTTTTTCGTAAAAGTCATTTGCTCAAGCATAAGAAAGAGTTTTGGGCGCCAGAAAATGAAGCATGAACAATAATAGCATCTTGGTCGAAACATTTTCATATGTTCCATTAGGGTTTTCGACTTCATAAAAGTCTGGGTGTACTGGATATGCTGCAGGCTGATTTAACATCCTCAAAAATCTATACCATGCCAAGTTGTTATATTTTAGAAATATAAACGTTTTCTCTCCAAGGTCTTCTATTCTATTGATTTTAACAGTTGCATTTTTCTGTCATAAATAATATCGAGATGGTACTCTCCCCGTCAATGTTATACTGTTTTGCATATTCGAGATAGATATCGTTTATTTTTTCTGAAAAGCTTGAAGAGTTTTTCTAAGTTTACAAGCAAACTACTTGTAAAGTTTTCCCTGTTCAAATTTCTCAACATACGTTTTTCTTTGTTATAGTATCGAACTTCAAAACCGACCGTAAATGGGAAACCATGTATGGCTTCTGAAATGAACTTCATTCTACGAAAGCCAATAGCTTTTGTGACAGATGGGTCTCTTAGCCATCTTAATGGGTAGTCAAAACGATAGCCTTCATGCTTTACGGTCTCTGTCTCAAACTTTTGACCGACATTAGTAAAAAGTTCATCTAATGGTTTAGTTGTAGCAACTCTTGAATTTTCTTTTTCTATTGAAAGCATATTTTATCTATAATAAAAATGTCAAATGAAACAGCGTCTATGCGAGAAATACAACACAACCGACAACTCATTATGCAAGCTCTAAATAAGAACACAACAAACTTTTCAAACTATTCTAAGATATCTGAGTCATTGAAAGAAGGAAACTTAAAACTGACATTAAACCCAATGACAGATGAGTTTCTGTTTCAAGACAATAAGAACCATACTGTCTGTATAAATCCAACAAAAGGAACTTTAAACGAGAAACCTATAAATGAACTTCTTTTGAAAACAGATGTTGACAACAAAGCTGACAAAGAATATGTAGACGATGCAATAGCAAAAGAAGAAGAAAGAGCTAACAATGCTTATGCAACAAAAGAACATACTCATCCTGAACTAGCAGACAAAACATATGTTGACAATAAAATGTCAAGTGAAGTGACAAGAGCTGAAAACGAATATTCTAAAAAGACTCATACACATTCTATATCTGAAATAACAGACTTACAAGAAACCTTAAACAGTAAAAGTGCCGTTGGACATACACATACCATTGCAAATATTACAAACTTACAAGAAACCTTAAACAGGAAAAGTGACGTTGGACATACACATACATCTTCTGAAATAACAGACTTAAACGTTAGCCTTGAAAAGAAAGCAGATAAAACATATGTCAATGAAATATACCAAAGTTTGATAGGAACAACGAAAAATATTGAAACTATTGTTGGTGACTTTTCTGTCAATGAAGAAAACAAATATTTTAGATGGGAGTTTGTACACTCCTTAAAAAATGGTATACGGTATAAACTCATTCCGAAAAATAACAATGAAATGTATGTAGGCTATATAAAGAATAATGGTACACAAGTTAAAGTTCCATTAGACAACAACTGCTACTTAAACTTATATGGAGACGAACAAAAGAAATATTTAAGAGTTTATGAAATGACAGATATGACATTGCCTGACCCAGCTCCAGCACCATATTATTATGACTATGGAGATGACGTCAGAACACCACATGTAGATGAACAAAAGCTAACATTATATTTAGATTTTTATAGATATAAAAGATATAATGCAATAGAAAAAACGAGAATAGTATACTATTATGAAGATGACAGAAATAAATATTATAGTCAAGACTTTACCTACCCTGAAAACATAAGATTATATTATAAAAAATATTCTGACACAAACCAGAAGAAACCTGAAATAGTTGCACTATATTTTAAGTTCAAAAGAGACAATCCTATAATATCTCATATGTTTGATTTAATGAACCCAGTAGGTTCTATTTATACATCTATGGAAGCAAGAGGTCCTCAAGTAATGTTTGGTGTTGGGGCATGGGAACAAATAGTCGACAGGTTTTTGTATTGTGCAAACTCTTCAAAGGAAACAGGTGGAAGTAAAACGATTTCAGGTGAAAATTTACCTGCACATAGTCACTACATAGATTTAAGCACATCTCAAGCAGGTTGGCATAAGCATAGATATTGGGATTGGTCAGGAATGACAAAAGGTAAAGGATATGATGTTAAAGACGACGTTAAGTTTGCTATAAATTGTTACTGGGATGACACGCAGGGAGAAGGAAACCATACACATTTCGTTTCAGGATATACGCAAACAACGGGACAAAGTAAAGAATACATGCCACCTTACATGACAGTTTACGCATGGTATAGAATTGCTTAGTCGTCATTTTCAACTTCTTTAGCATATTCGTCAGGAGTTGTCTTATATTTGTTAGGAACTGTCTTTGAAAGTATACCACCTTGAACTTTGACAAGTTTGAAACGAGGTCTGACAATAGTAGTTTTATCTTCTGCTTGCAGTGTGTACATTTTGCCATGTTTGCCTAAAACTTCATAATATTCTCTTGTATACTTTCTTCTATTTTTACGAACACGAATGTGAGTACCTGTCGGGTTCCCATTGTTGTCATAGTCAATAGTATTTTCATATGGGTCGCGTTTAGGTATTTCTATTTTTACTTTGTCACCTTTCTGAAGTTTGAAGCCCGGCATTCTTTCTTGTTTGTCTCTTTTGACTAAATTATTAAATATATAGTCTTTCTCTAAGTCAGGGTTGTTTTTCATTTCTTCGGGGGAGTGGTTTCCCAAACCTTTTTGTTTACGGTTATTGTAAATATTTAAAACTTGTCTCATCTTTGCCATGGAGAAGTGTCTATACTTGTCGTCATATGACATTTCATTTGCTTCACCACCTTGTGGTTGGTTTAAGTCTCTTAACATTTTTATACAACCGTCAATGACACCAAGAGCAGAATGGTTTTGGTCGACAATGAAATATTGGTTTACATTTTTTGAACGCAGATAGTTTTTTACATCATCTGATTTGAAAGAACTTTCAAAGTCAGATGTCAGTTTTGTTGGATGGTATTTGTCAACGAATATTGTCAAAGCAGTTTTCACATCTAAAATATTTTTGGACCATAATGGTATGGCTTCACAGTATCTTGTGTTTTGACCAACAAATATTAACCAGTATGGTGGTCCATCTTCTCTATACCTCGGAATGTTTTCCAAGATATCCATAAACCAAGCATTTGGTGTTGAACTAAAGATTTTTATCATGAGTGCTTTCTTTGTTGCTTTAGAAACATAGGGTCCTTGTTTGGATTCGTCATTTTTTAACCCATAAGAAATGGGTTTATTTGGCGCATTAGCAGGAGTTGCATCCAGATTTTTGCCCGCAGTGGGAACAATAGCCAGAGGTGTATTTGGAGTTGGAAGGAAGATTTTGAGTACATTAGGTATACTGAAAGAGAAAGCACAACCTATTATACAAACTGTACAGAAAGGTTGGGATGTAGCACGAGATGCAACAAATCTTATTCCAAATCCTGAAAACAAGAGGAAAAGTTCAAGGATGGATGGACAATGTAGGAAGACAAGCAGGAAACTATTATAACAAAGCAAATGACTACTATAACCAAGCAGGACACTATATGGACCAAGGTGAAAGATTCTTTAACAGAGGATATAACCATGCACAACAATGGGTAAACAATAACCAACCTCAACCGCCTCAAACGTGGGGAATGTAAAGTTTTTTACTGAGATGAAATGAACAATACAGCATTGAGACAAATGGGTTCAAGATGGATTTGTCGGCTTCCAGCAGTTACACACGTGTTTGTCAAGTTCTTCCTATACCTCAGGAAGTTTTAGACCGACTTAAAAAACCTAAACAACCAGTTGAAAACAAACCAAACTAAAATTTTTTACTGAGATGAAATGACCGAAGAAGTTGAAACGGTAGATTTGACACCACAAACAAAAAGTTCAGAACCATTGTCAAAACCTGTCAAAGAACTTACAGATGAAGAGAAAAATTCAATAATAGAAAGTGCCAGGTCTGGAAATACAAACCCTAACTACAAAGTCACTTTTCATAGAAATGGAACGGCAGTATCTCAAAAAAGAAACAGACTCTCACAAATAAAATATTGAAGTCTGAAGGAGCTTTCGAGACAACAGATGGAAAAGTTTACTTCACTGACCAACAGTTCATTATAGAACATCTCATTGACTTAGAGTCGAAATATTCTAAACTTTACAACAAACACAAAAAGTTGAAAGGAAAACAAAAACAAATGGCATATGATATTTATGAAGATGTTGACGACACAACTGTTCCTGCAGGTGAGGTAAAGTCAGAGGAACCGAAAAGTGACGAAAAACCGATAGAAGAAGAAAAACCAAAAACTGAAGATAAACCAAAACCAAAGTTTAGTTTGGAAACTAAACCAAGTCAACCTTCATTAGCTGGTATGGGTTGGCGTCAAAGACTTATGGCAGCAGGCGGTTATGTAAAGTAAAGAAAAAAATATTTTTTTATTTTTATAAAAATGCCCCCATATAGAATGGATAGAAAGTCTGCTAGAATAAAAGCAGAGTTGCAAAGATATGGTTGGAGAGTTTCGAAGAAGTTTAAATATAGGAAGGGAAGACCCATAAAAGTCTATGACAAACTGGCTGGTCTTCGCTACGAAATGGATTTGGAAACAGCACGTGCAAATTATCCAAACAGACTAGAGAGGTTAGAAGAAGAACGTCTTATGGACATGCCTTTCGATGTTAGTGAACCTCAAGTTGAAGGACACGACGGCTTTGCCAGATTCTACTGGAAACATGACGAACAATTGCATCCTTTGAGAAGGAAAAAAGGTAGTGCAGAGGATGGTCATGCTCCCATGGAAAGAACAAGATATGCATATGAGAAGTATCGTGAAGTTAGAAGTCAAATTACATCTGGTCGAACCTTTACAGTAAACTTTGACGAAGGAAAGAACAAAGAAGGCTTCATGGGAGTACTTGCTGCAATTCAAGACGGAAATAAGAAAGGATACAATCTCAGATTGACCATAACAGATTTGGATGGTCACATTTACTATGCAAATGGCAATGAACAAACAGCTGCAAAACTTCTTGACGCTTTCAAGACTACAAAGAGAGAACAAATGGTTGACTCCGACTCAGACATTTTGAATGCAATTGAAGGAATTGCAAGTGTCAAGTTCGAATGGTACCAACCTAACCCTCAAGCAGTCAGACAACATGCTGGATACTTCCCGTTCATAAATAAGTCTGACATTGACTTGACAAGGTATGGAATTTACAATTCAATTGAAACAATTGTCAACGAACCTTGCATTCTTACATGTCTCAGGAACTCTGGTCTTGTTACAGAAGAGAAGATGAAGTATCTTGAGTCATGTGTGAAGACAAGGTACATTCTCAGAGGTCAATTGGCAAAAATTGCACCGTTGGCAAATGTCAATATCCGAGTCAACATACCTACAGCTAAAGGTTCTTCACATGACGACTATGTTGTTGAGTTCAATTTACCATGGTTGAAGATTGCAATTGTCCACAACCACTTCATGTTGAACGAAAGTCTTACAAACCCATTGTTCGGAAAAGGCAAGTGCAACATTGTCAGAGCTGTAAACATTCTTTTCGAGAAAGGTTTGTTGGAACCAATTCCAGATGACAAGCTGACAGAAACTTTTGTACCAAAAGACGAAACAAACTTTTCACTGTTAGCAAGACCAAAAGTTGTTCCAGACAAAGTTCTAGTACAAAAGAAGTACACAATTCCAAAAGGAGTTGGATTGTTCGGATACCAACCTGAACCAGAAGAACTTCCAATGAGGTTGCAAGAACTTCAAGATGCTATAAACAAACTTCCATTGAGACATCCAATTGACGTCAAATTGTATTGGAGAGCATCTGAGTTAGGTCAGAAGGTTTTATATGAAACAGGTTGCTTCGACGATGTTTATGAGATAACAGGAGAAGTTTCTCAGAAGATAAGAGACTCACTTGAATTTCCACAAACTGGACCAATTGGTTGCGACAAGTTCGACTCAAACGAAAAGATATACTATGTCGACCTTAACGCTGCATACATGAGGTTTGTCCAATATATTCCGACTGGAATTCCAAACGAAGATGGTGAGTTCCCGGGAAGGAACTATACAGTTGGAAAAGTCATACAACAACTGTATGATATTAGGAAAGCTTCAAACCCCAAACTTGCAATGACACTCAAATTGCTTATGAATTCGACATGGGGATATTCCATTAAGAAACCTCAAGAGATGAAGAGTAAACATTATGAGAAGGTCGACAACTTTGTTGAAAGGTTTTCTCCTTTTGTTTTGAAGTACGAATTCACTCAAGGTCAAAGTGGCTTAGTAACCACATTAAAACCTATTGTCGAACATTGGTCTTACCCTCAGTTCGCAAAGGCAGTCCTTGACAACTACAACAAATTCTTCTCCGAAGTCAAATCGAAAGTCAAGGTTTACTATGAGAACATTGACGCACTCATGACGAACGAAGAAGGGTACAACAAACTCATTGAAATGGGTATGGTCGGTGAAAAGATGGGTCAATTCAAATTGGACAAAATTTTCACCGAAGTTCATGTCCTCTCCAAGCGTAAGTACTGGGGCATACTTGAAGACGGCACAGAAATAAAACATTGCATGAAATAAAAAATTTTTATTCGAATTTGAATTAAAATGTGGGAATTCTTGGGAACGGGAAAGGCTTATTTACTTGAGGAACAGGTAAAGGTGGTGGAGGTGGAGGTGGTGGCAACCAGTCCATTTTATATTCCTTCCTAGCTAATTTCCGTTTAATTTCATGGTCGCCCTCGGAGTCTTTGAATCGGACAGGTCGAGTTACACCATTCTTGGTCTCAAACTCATATATAACCTGTTTGTCTGTATTTTCATCGACTATGGCACGAGACACAAACATTGACCAAACGGACAAAAAGTGTCATTTCGGATGGTCACGCAGCCAATCGCATTCGAGCACTTCGAAGAAGCCTTACGTTCCAAGGGAGAGGGTGTCTGGTGCAAGGCAGAGGTCATGAAACTCTACGAGCAGTACATCCTCAATGCCTGGGAGGACAAATCGTCCTTGGATTGGCAATTCTACCAACTCCTCTGGGACGACCTCCTACGCAACTGGGATAACGAAAGAGCCCAATTCAAAGGTCGGGAGCTAATTTTGCAAATTACCCTTAATTTAACATACTTATCCAAATAAACACCTAAATTTACTTGGGGTTTCCCCCTAAAATAAAAATTTTTTTTTACTCTTAGAACCACTCGAGGTTCTCCTTACGGTTGTTGAGCTTGTCACCGTCAATGTGTCTGACCCTCGTCTTCTTGTCTGGATTTGGAACCCATTGCATACCGACAAGCCTTCCCATGGAAATTGAACCGTAATTTCGAAGGTTAAGGTTCAAGTGTCCCAAGTTGTTGAGGACTGGGGTAAGAACCTTACCGGTCTCCCTGTTGCGGATTTGGTATGGGTAGGGTTGGGAAATTTCGTAACCGTCATCGGCAACAAGGGTTGCCCAAACTTCCTCTTCTTCGTGTTTCTCTTCTTCCTCTTCTTCCTCTTCTTCCTCTTCTTCCTCTTCTTTGATAATACCTTC